AATCTAAATAGTTCAAAATTCGACAGCTTAAAATCCAGGTTTGAGTTTAATATTCCAAAGATCAAATCCCGATGATACTAAATTCTGATGCATTAAATTCTTAAAAAAACGCAATGTAATGTCCTGAAAACTAAATTTAAAAGGTTCTGATAGATCATAACTATAACGCAATCACTTTGCATAGCTAATATCCTTTGTCTCCTCTGATGCACTGGATTCCCGATCTTTATTTTCCTAACAATTATTTTCACTATATTTTCAATCAATAATTAAAAAAATTTTGCAACTAGCGTTAATATATTATTTTGATTTTAACCAGAATATTGAAATTTTTTAGATTCATATAGCGCTAGAACAGTTTCCATGAATTATGTTATGATCATGCATATAAAGCTTCATTTCATTCACACCAATTTAGAGAATAATATAAAGGATGTTTATGATTTATTGAGACAGTTTTTTGAATTATAATTTTTCAAATTTTAATGCTGTATTTGCGTGTAATAACGTGCAGGGGTGTAATTTTGAATTTCGGCCTAAATTAAGCTTAATTCAGGCCATTATTCGAAATAACACCTATGTGCGTTACGCGCAGATACGGTATATTGGGTTAGTACCAGATTTTGAATTTCTGGATATTAACCCGAATATTGAACTATCAGAATTTTAAACTACTATTATTTTGAATATCAAGATTTCAATATAATCAAGATTTTTACTAGATAGAATTTTGAACTATCATATTGCATGAATTTTTATTAGTATTTTGAGCTTATCAACATTATAAATATTGGGATTTTACACCAAATCCATCTAAAATTTTATATTTTTTTATATCAAATAACACATATTTTACAAATATTTTTATTAATATATTAGTCAGTAAGTTTGATTTTCTCTAAAATAATTGTTTGCTACATTTAAGTTTTGCATCTTTTGTGCCTAATAATAAATTAATAATAATATTTTAACAAAAACGTTTATATGAACATTATTAGGATGTAAGTTTTATTATATTCATTTTCTTAATTATTATCTTAAATCTAATAATATATATATATATATATTAACAAATATTTTTTTATTTTATTAGACCGTAAGTATAGGTTTTATGATATTTATTAAATTATTATTTAATAGATACAAACTTTTATATCTTCTATATTTAATAATATATATTTAAATAATATATATTTAAATAAATATTTTGTTAATATGTTAGTCCGTAAGTTTATTATATTTATTTCTAAATTTTTATTTGATATATCTAAAATTGGGCGTCTTTTATATATATGCTAACAAATATTTCTACTAATATATTAGTCAGTAAGTATAATTTTTACTATATTTATTCTAAAATTATTTGAAGTATTGTGCTAGGCGAATTGTAGTATAGATTGGCATTATTATTAATTATTAATTTAACATAATTATTTTTGAGCCTATACTATCATTAAATATTTTAAATTATATTTTTATGTCTCATAATATATTCTTCTATTAAATTATTAGCGCGTAAGTATAAGATTTGTTATATTTGCATCTAAAATTATACGTATATTTGATCATAGTTTGAATTTTTGTATCTTTATATCTATAATAATATATATTTGACAAATACTTCCGCTTACTTAGAGGGTAAATATAAACAAGTTTATTTTCTAAGTTATTGTTTGCTAGATTCAGATTTTGTAGGTTTTATTTCTAATTATATATACTTTTGTTAATTTATTAGCATGTAAGTATAAGTTTTATTATATTAATTTTCTAAATATGTATTAACAAATATTTCTATACTTTATTAGTCCGTAAATATAAAGCTTCTTATATTATTTCCTAAATTATAACCTGAGATTTAAAAGTTCTTTTATGTTTAATTTTCTTTTAATTTATTAGTCAGTAAGTACTGTATAAGCTTTATTATATTTATTTCTAAAATTATTTTGATAGTTTTATATTTGAACTGTAATAGAGATTATTATAAGACAGGGCGAAACCTGAGTTAATTTATATTATCGTTGTGGATGCAAAAGAGTGAAATTCACGTTTTTTAGGATACCTTTTGGCGTCTAATTAGGAATTGGTGGTAATGTGCATTAATAACATAACCTCCTTTAACTAGTTTTCACTCTGTCGCATTATTATTTATTAATTTTACGACATGTATATGTGACTATTATCAAGTCTATACCGCAGTTCAACTGTTTTAAATGA